CTTCCCCCTCCCCATCATCCTATCCATCTCCTACTCTCCCCCCTCCATCATCCCATCCACTCCTATTCTTCCCCCTCTCCACCATCCCATTCATCTCCAACTCTGCCCCTACCCATTTTTCCTTCAATACTTTGGCAGTCCCATCATCCCATTTATCCAGCCCAACCATTACACCAACCTTATCCAGCATTTCATCCCTTTCTACATACATGTACCTTGTCCCCATGATCCTCCTCCTACAGGTACCCCTCCCCCAACAAACATCCTAATCAGTCACTTGGAGTCCCCCTCCCATCCCTTACACTTTTCCCACACACAAGTACATGTACATTTGTATGTATTACATTGTATTAGTACGACTGTTTAGATGGGAACCATGCTACCGTAGAGCCAGCAAGAATATAAAGCGAGAGTTTTTTCAAGTTGGTCGGATCCACTGACCTTTCAGATTCAGAACTGGAAAGAAACAAATTGGTCTTTTTTTTATTTTTGAGAAGACTTGGATCTGCCGACCAACAACTTACCGATATAAGTGTAACAATTTTGGGGGGGGGCCTGCTGTCTGACCAACAGCCAAGTCCCTGGTCCACGGTTGCTAGCACTAGTGGTAAGGGATACCACTTTTTTTTGTGTGTGTGTGTGTGTGTGTTGGTGAACAAAAAGTTGTATTCTTCCCTGTGACTAGAAGACCCTTATTTGTTTTCCTTGAGACCCAAGAGAAATATTTTTGTCTGTTCTCCTCTAAAATTTGTCTTAAAAACTCAGAGCACCAACTTAAAAAAGGGAAAAATTGACTAGATACTATAATTAAAAACTCATTACTAGAAACTTGACTTGGAAAATTTTGACTTGAGGCCTGACTTGACTTGCAAAAAAATGACTTGAGACTTGACTTGACTTGCGAAAAAATGACTTGAGACTTGACTTGACTTGCGAAAAAATGACTTGAGACTTGACTTATGAAACACATGATTTGAGACTTGACTTAAGAAAAACATGATTTGATTACAACACTGGTAGTAGAATTATTAGTACAAGTAGTTAGGTTTATAAAAACTCTTTCTTTGCGGCCAAGGGCTGAAATGTTTAAGGTTACAAAAGAAGGAAATACCACATTACTGACAATTGCAAAATACATGTGCTATAAGAAGTATTTCCAAGGATGGATTTTAATTTCAATTTTGGATTTTTGCCCTGCCCAATGTGTATTGTAACACTGTATACTCAGTGTTTGCTCCTGAAGACTTGTGAAAAAAACCACAAGCCTGCTTGGGTGGGATTCGAACCCACAGCTTCCTGCTTGCAGACATCTTAACCACTCGACCATTAAGCTTGGTTCGAGTCAATGTAGCAGCAGGTACTACAAACAATTATTTCCAAGGATGGATTTATTTTACAGCGCTACAACACATTATAATAAACAAATTCCGAAAGATGTATCCTTGTGGAGACATGGCTTTATTCTCCAGTACTAAAAAAACATGTGTGAAACACTGTTTTCAAAATGCTCGCATTTCAACATGAATTACGCTCCTGGGCTGAAATTTTAACAGAATGTCCCTTACATGAAATACTTCAATTTGCAATAGATTCTTACACATGAAAAATTTCTCCTTTTTGAGCAATTTCCAAATATAAATTTGGTGAAATCCTTGTAGAGACCTATTCAACCCATTCTTCTGGGTCTCCACAAGGCACCATTTTTCGAAACATGTTGGGCAGGGCAAAATTAATATCTCAACAATGCAAATCCATCCTTGGAAATAGTACACTCGGTACCCGCTGCTACATTTGAAATGCTACAGGAAGATAATAGAGGAAAAAGATCAGGTAAAGGGGGAATTTAGAGGATGACGGGAGAAGGAGAAATGTCAAGGAGGGGTGGTTTACCAAATTATTATCATCTGTATGTATGATTGCATCAAATTCACATCTTGACATTATATTTTAACACCTCGTGCAAGTTTACCCACTTGCTTACAATCAATAATTGTAATGTACTGTTATCAATGTCATATTCTGAAGTTATTTTATCTTGATATGTATTTTTCATACATTAAGTTTTAACTTTTGTTGTTTCATCTCCTTTTCTTACATAGAGTAGGCCTACACGTCCAACTTGTATTTAGCAGCACTGTCTCATGAGTGAATCCACTTCCAACTTTCAGAGGAGAAACTATGGCTGCGCAAGAGTCTGGGTCTCTTAATGTCCTTTCATGGAATGTACGTGGCCTTGGATCACGATTATCTGAAGTTAAAAAACTTGTAACAGACCAAAAGATTGACATTATGTGCCTTGTAGAGACAAGGGCAAAATCCGACGACAAGTTTAGTGAAACAGACTTTCCAGATTTTGAAGTGATCGGGAAATCAGTGAACAAGTTGAAAGAATCAAGTCAAAGAGTATTTCCAGGTGGTCTTTTGTTTGCCTACAGAAAAGCACTGCCTTACACGTTTTCGAAACTTCCCAATAAATCTTATTTTATCCTTTGGGTAAAAGCAAAACCTGAAAACCCTGAGGAAAATGTTTCCATGATATTTGCAGTGATCTATAACCCCCTAACTGACAAAACTACGAAAGAAAAGATCCTCCGGATCATGGAAAGGGAATACAAAATTCTGGATGAAGACCACACAGAAGCGAAGTTTTATATCATGGGTGACTTCAATGCATGTACATTTGAGCTTTTTGAAACTCACCAACCTCGAGTTAGAGAATTTGAAGAAGAGAAAAACGATTCCAATGCAAATTACGAAGAAAATGGAATAACCTTAGTTGGCTTCTGTGATAACACAGGCTTTTGCATAGCCAATGGCAGATTTGGGAATCAATCTGCAAGTCACACAACTTCAGCCCATGTTTTAGATTACTTGCTCTGCAGGCATAAGGACTGGAGTTTTCTAACAGATTTCAAAGTTGATGGTTTTCATAGATCAGATCACAGAGCTCTTATTTTTACTTTAAAGGTGCTGAATCTAAACAGTACAACTGTACATGAACCTGAACCTGAGAGGTTAGAGTTACAACCAACCATGCAATTCAGGCTAACGCTGAATTTGCAAGAATCAGAACATGACTTGGCCATAATTTGGTCTACGGGACAACCTGATGAGCCAAATTCAGATGAGCTTATCAAGTATGAAAACACATGCACAACTCCAAACCTACATGTATGTGTTAAACAAACAATATTATTCACCTCACACTGCAAAGTTCAAGCAGTACCACAGGAACAAGAACCTGAAATACCTACCATGATGCATACGTTCTCAGTAGCACTATGTTCACAGCCCTTGTTAGTCGAGAACATACTATGCTTCTATCTAGATTACCATTCAAATCTACATCGAGGGCTACGCACGGTACAAGGAACTGTGAAGAACATGTACAGTTATTGTTTCAGAAACTATCCAGGAGCAACATTCACATTCTTGGGCACTTTCTTCACTAAGACTGTTATCGATATCCAGTGCAAGGATCTTAAAAAGACGGTTCATCAAGTAATGTATGGGTTGTTTTTTAAACTGAACATGGCACGTGGGGCACAAGGAACTCATGAACTGGAGGAAACTAAAGTAACCATCAAGAAAATACAGCATGGAGGACAGATTCACCATGTTGTACTGTGGAAATTTGTACTTAGACAACTCTTTAAATCAGTCATAACTCCAGCTTTTCATCTGGATGACAGGTTACGACACTATGAGGGGCATGAACTCACACTTTACACAGAACAATTGAAAACCTTAATCACTGCAAGAGGGCTACAGAAAAATGCCAAACTTCTGTTCTGGAAAATGTACAAGAATGCAATGGCCAGAGCGCAATTAGAAAGACCTTGAATGGACCTGAAATGTTCCTGAAGCAGAGGCTTTCAAGTTTTGTAGTCTGGAAAAGGCCATACTTTTACAAGTTAACATAACTGTTAAATGTTCCAAAATGAGACTCAAGTATGACAAGCAATTGCATCTGTTTTGTAGACAGCACAAGGTTTTTCTGCATTTTAGAAGCATATAAGTCTTCTTGTTGGATTTGTTGTAAACAAAACAGGTTAAATGGCAACAATAGTCAGTCACAGATTTAAAAATCTGTGCATCATCATCATGTGTGCTTTTTTGTTTCACAGCCATCAACTCAAAACGTTTCATGAGAGGTTGCTTGACTATTTCACGACACCATCAGTCCAAATTTTGATGAACAAAGCAAAGATTAACGCTGTTGAAAGCAAGTTCCTATCTTTTACAAATTTTAAATAAATATGGCACTTTTGGTTTGGCAATTTCAAAGACACTAGAAAAAATTGCACAGGAAAAAACCACCCAACCGAACTCATGAATTAAAGGAACCTGAATTAATCATCAAGAAAATACAACACAGAGAAAGGCTTCGACAAATTGTGCTGTGGAAGTTTGCACTCGGGCAAATCTTTCAATTACCAGAAACTCCTGCTTTTGGTCTTGATGTGAGGCTACAACATTACGAGAAAGGAAAAGAACTCCTACCCAACCCAGCTTTATTGCAAGCTAAAGGCTGAAACAGCTCTATCAGCACAATGCCACACTCATATATAAAAAGTTGCCTAGAGGCATAATTGGGGTATTACTGAATAAACTTGAAATTAAGCAAGAAGCTTTAAACTTTGAGTCCTCAAAAAGCTAATTATACTTTTACGAACTTAATTCTTTAAAACAAAGTCAAGTATTAACCACAGAACACCAAGGTTTTACCACCTTCTAAAAGTTTTTAAAGTCTTCTACCTGGGATCTACCAAAGAGAAGACTTTCAAACTTTTAATTACATCCATAAGGGAATTCTGATCTTCTTTGTACTTTGGAATTTGAAAGAAACAACCTTTTCCAACCTCAAACAGTGAAAACTCCATGGGAAATGACCTAAAAAAATCCCCAAACATCTGAGGTTGCTTGTAACATAGAATACTTCTTCAGGTAACCATACCATAAGGTAACAGTACACATTTACACATGTAACACATATTATTCCGGTCAAGAATGGATTTGACAAAACTTAAAAGGCCTGTTGTCAACATCCAATTAGAAATTAACTGAAATGAATTCTTTGTGTTGTCTTGCTGAATGTATGTTGAAGAGTTTTCTTGTTAAAGAAATGGAAGTTGAAATATATCACTACAAATTTCAGACATTGATACTGATGTCAAAGATTTATTCTTTTGGAAGTTCTTTTGTTTGAACCCTGTAAAAATCTACCAAAGTTGCATCACCTAATTTACAAATCACAACAATCTGTTTAGAAACTAAAATCAGAGTTTGATGAATAAGCATAAAGGGTAGGTGCAATATACATGTACATAAACCTTTTGAAGATTTATATACGAACCTTCAAAATGCACCTTTCTTCTCATTTACCTTACTTTCAGCCATGGGCAGAAATCAATCCTGGGGGGCATCAATTTAAACCTTTTTGTGCACATCAAGTTTATTATCTTATTCCATTTATAAAAACTCTAAAGGGAAAATCCTCGATCCATCAATCCCGTCAGTAGTTTGTTTTGCTTATGACATGGAGGGGACATTCAACATAGTGTCCCACTGTACCAAATTCATGGGGGAGATGTGTCCCCCCTTCCCCCGGATTTCCGCCCATGTTTTTTAGCTTTTATTTCACTATTTCAAAGGGTATTTAATTTTTCAGTTTTTATTGGTGACCAGAACTGAGATGTCATCCAAGGAAGAATGCCTCAATGTTACATTAGTTTGTACACAAAAGAAGTGCTGCATTTTAGCAGAATTAGCTGGCCTAATTTTTCTCTTTGGTGACTCGTTTAAGTTCACAGCAAGCATAAGCAAGCCTCAATCCCTCTCTCAGAAATTTTTCCAGCAAGAAAATTCTGGGTTTGCAATTTGAACAGATAAGCTATCCACTGAACTATATCTTCCTTGGACGACATCGCAGCAACAGTGCCCTCAGTTACCCAGGAAAGCAAGCAAAAGTTCAAAAAGTGCACTTTTCAATGCATTTAACCAATTAGAGCATTAAAGAGTTTTCATACAATGGAAAAGCAAACAACATTTTTGTAAAATTGTGTCTGAGAAAACTCTGTTGCAGCTAAACTTTTAGTTTCACATGTGTCTATATTTGTATGCATGTACATGTATGTTTATGCTTGTTAATTATGCTTACTATTAAAGTTCTTAAACAAGTACAGAATCGGACACCAAAGGTATTTAAAAATGACACAGAAGTCTGCTCACATTGTTGTTTTAGTATCTTTACTACAATGAAAGTAATACACATGTGAATGCAAGCTTTTTATTCATGCTAGAAACTAAAATTGCAAAACAAAGGTACTTAAGAACCTGCAAGTACTGTACAGATATGTAAAGAAAAGGTAGACATTTCTTTTCAATCTGATTCATGAGTGATGTGTATGTGTACGGTTGAAATCATGTTTACAATCAAAGTTCGACAAATACAAAACAGAATCACACTATGACTGATGTCTCCTTCAGATGTTTGAATGTTTCAACAGTGACGAGTGATGATATAAACTGTAAGCTTAATGTGCGCTACATTTTCAGGTATTTAGCGGGAAAACAGTGAAAATTTCCCTCTGGCGTAAGATCATAGAAGTTTTTTGAAGCCAGCTATGATTTGTACATATTGCAGACTACAGTGTGGAGTGACAATCATAACTGAAAATGTTTTCGTTTTTTGTGTAGTGTGGGAGATACTCACAATGCATAAACTGTGAAATTTCAGGCTTGTTTGATGGAAAGATTAAGAGTTTAGTCAATAATTCAGACTTTCCCCATAGACCACAAAACTATTTTTCCCCTTTGAGTTTCAAGTGTGAAATATAGAATAGCCACAATTGACCAATCAGAGAAAAGAATCAAGCCTCAGTGATGTCAATAACTGAAATCTTCTAAAGTTTTAGATATATCAGAGTATATGTATTTTCAAATCATTTTTTGTCAACGGTATTGAAATAAAGTATATGTTAATGTTTTAATGACTCGAATGACAATAATGCTATAAGTTTAATCTGTAACACGATATCATTACCATAACTACCAGATTTTGTGGAAATCTCCAAGTGTTGAAAATTACACAAAAAATGTGAAAGTACACATGTGCCCCAATTAACATTCCAGGCCAGCTGTATTGATTGTACTAAAATATACAGTCTGTTCTTAACTTCACTCCCTTTTTCTCTTCACAACGTTACTAGCCTAAGTGTTGAACTAAGCAAAAAATATGAATATGACAAATATATATAAACACATAAGGTATGTTGTAATATTCTTTGTTTTAAGAAGTGACAAAATGACAGAATTTTTGATGTAGATGAAATTCACTGTAATCATTACCTATTTCAAATTCTTAATAAGCTTTCACACTGATCGAGCAGTAATGTGTCTGTGTATGTTTTGAATTATACTTATAATTTTCAAGTGTACAAACAGAATCACACGAGAGTAATATACATGTACTGTACATCCTTCAAACTATACAAAAGTAACGTACATGTATGTTGTTATGATGTATGTACATAGTTTGAAGAGGCATCAATGTGAGTTGTGTTATGTATTTAGTGGGGAAGCTATGTCAGTGAACTTTTACCTCTGACACAATCTGAATTCCACCAAAAGTGATATTGATGTGTCGAATAATTTAGAAGCCAGCAATGATTGATACATGTTGTAGCCTACAATTTAGAGAGACAATCCTGGTTTTTTTTTCATATAGTTGTTACTATATGTACACATAAAAACATATTCTTAATTCCATATGACACAAAATAAAGACTTGATTATAAGGATGAACAAATATATTGTTACAATTCATTTTAGGGTAATTCTAGAAATTAGGGTCCATTTTTTTGTGTCCCTGTCACATCTGACATACAATTTTGTGAGTTCAAAACACATTTTCTGATTTCCAAGAGTGATGAATTAATGCAAATTACCTGCCAAACAAATTGTAATAGTTTGAAATCAAGTCCGGTGATATTTCCATGTCAAATAACAAAGGTCAGATGTAACAGGGACACAAAAATGTCACACTTTTGGACCACTAATTTCTGGAATTACCCTTTAGTCATTATTAAATCATGCTTGTTATCAGTGTTCTTGAAATAAAGCACATGAGAATGTGTTTATATCACTTGAATACCAACAATTTACTGAAAGTCTAACCTGTAAAATAAATTGTAAAGTTTGATGAAGATATGTGATTTACTTTATGTATTAACTACTTGCTGCTGGGGAACCCTCTTTCGAGTACTGGCTGAAGTACTCAGGAGTCAATTAAGGTTGCCTGTCAGCTTAGATTAGCCACCAAACAGTCATTTGTGTGGGTGTAAATGATGAATTTTGGACGAATTGTGGAAACTGAAAATCTTCAGCATATGTGTGCACTGCATTTTTAAAGGGATCCATCAGTGTCTGTGTACTTTATGTATCCGACACAATCTAACTGATACCCTAACTCATGTTGATACCTTGCTCTGGCTTCTATGTGTTGCAGACCGTAGTTAGACTTGGTCACAAAAATAAAAACAATTTCTTTTATAATGTAAATGGCATCTAATAAAAAAGCTTTTAAGTGTGAATGAATAGTTGGACTTTTATTTCCACATTTGATAGAGGATTTACTTCACCAGGCTTATGCCAAGAGTGCCATTAGCCATGCTTATGCTCTATCACTTTATGTTGAACCCAACAAGGTTATGCAGGATTTCAATGGTCCCTAGGGGGTTAGTGTTAAGACATCTTTTATCAGTCTTTTAGTTCAACTCAGCTCTGGAGGCTGTGCCACTTGAAGCCTCAGCTCAACCACTAGGCTATCTGAACATCAAAACACAGGTTTACTTAGTTCATATACAACAATCTAACAAGTTAAAAGGGTTAACAACAAATGAAGGAAAAATTACTCAAGACATAAGCCACGACAATAGGAAGAACAGATATGAAAAGCCAATCCAACTGCTGCACTTGGAGAACTCAGCCAAAACATTTTACTTGCCACCATAATACAAGAACAAAGAACTCCTCCTCCCAACAAAACAATAATACTGAGGTGCAAGTGACCTAAAAACAATAAGATACAAGTACATGTACACCCCCATGTACATGTTTTGTGTTTATGCTCTTTGGCTGGTTAAAATAGAAACCTACGACAAACACAAATGAAAAGGCAATAAGCCAACACCTGTACCTTAGAACTGAAAACTGGCAAACTGCACTGTGGAATGAGTTGTAAATGAATTTCCAGGCCTAGGAAATGTTGTTTACTTTTAGCAACTGCCCACTGGTCCAAGATTGGTACAGGTAAGTTCTGCTGAATGGTAACAAATTGTTAATGAAAATATTTGTTTAAAACTCTTTCATGGGCTATGGCTCCCCTAACCACATATCCACCACTTCACCATCCATGCCCGGTTTCAAAAAATTGTGCTACAATTCATGGCATATAAGCCAAAAGGTGAAGCGATACAATAAACAAAGACCTTCTTTTTCCTTCTAATATGTCATGACAATAAACCTAATTTCCTGTCAGCGGAGGTTTATCAAGGTCGAGAGAAACAAATGCAGCTGAAATATCTTTCTTGGGATGTCCCATCGCTGGAATCTAACATCCATCCACAGTTACAGTAAGTTATATGGACGATTCAGGCAGGCCATACCATTCATATTATATTATACAATAACAAAAACAACTTTTGGTATATGCGCCACCAGTTTTACTGTTGCACAAATATTTGCTTCAGTTACCATGGTGATTGGGACTTTGACTCTTAAAAATATGACACCTTGTCTCCACACAAGAGCTAAGTAAAAAAGCAAGTCGAAGATCAACTGGTTCCAAAATCAATACAATGTTCTGGAAGAATTCAATAGATGTCAAAGATCAATTTCTGAATAAATAATGTATCAAGCAGGCTGAAAGCTTAACAACAGGCTATCACGTTTGGGTTTTCCCATGATGAGAAACTGAAGCAAATTTATTCATGTTCGCCAGAATGAAATTACGGTATCGTCTCCAAAAAAAGAAATATAAGGCGGTCCATAGAAATATCAATGCATTTGCATACAATGATCTCATCCTTATGGGGAATTCCAGCGTTTGATAATTTTGTAAGAGTACGGAAACAGTCAAGCTTCTGAGGTAAGGTTTGGTTGAGTTTTTAGAAAGTCTTCTGTTATACACATTGCATCACATTACAATAAACTGGTCATACAATGCAGGCACTTGCTCTAACCATACTCTCAGATTTAAGGAAGATTTACATGAGTCGTATGTGACTCATGCAATGTATCCTCCAGCATGTACATACGTACATTTCCATGCACCTTAGTATACATACAGTATGAGTAAACTTGGTTGATGCACTCTGCTCCTCTGTTGTTCTTTCGTGACATGCTTTTGGAAAAACTGCGGTGTTTTGAAGCCTATTTCACATACTTTAAGCCTCAAAGGTTGAAATACTGTCACAATGATTGCCAACAACACACAAGATGTCGAGACACAGCCAGTGATAAGAGCCAGTGTGTGATGTTCTTCGACACAACATTTGGTGGCAAATTAAATGCACTGAAAACTCTGAAAATGTTTGTATATGATAGTCAGAATAAATGCCCTCTTTGGATTCATTTTGTTGATGGTCATCTATTTGGCTGACAATTAGGGTTTCATCTCCAAGTCATAGGGAAAAATGGAGCACATGTACATGTCAATATTAAAGTGGTACAAGGGGGACATCCTTGTATGCCCATCACACCAACTCAAGGTTTGTACGGGCGTACACTGACCACTTCAAATGACACAGACAAAACTCAAAAGGCAAATGTGAACCTGACCTAACTTTGCAGACTGTTTGCTTTTATGTATGCATATGTATCAGGAACTGTTTAGCAATGCTGTCTGTATCTCTTCATATCAATATGGAAATCCGGGTAAAGCCTTACAGACCGACTCCAACAATGCTAACTTTTCTCATATTGAATCCTAGTCAGAAGAGCCAAGTCTAATATGTGGCACATATCAATATCTCCCTTGCAATACATGTTTTATGTTAATAAAACACAGTTTTGCACCCATTTTTCCTGCAAGTCCAGTCCGATATTGTGAAAATGGATGTATCGTCAGGACTCATTAGCATCTAATGAATACTGATTTTTGTACTGATAATGTGTACTTGTGGTGGACATTTGTTGGCTACCAGTACAAATCAAATGGAGTTGAATTCATTTAAACTTTTACGTCAAAGTGTTTACACCAGAGGACTTGATTTCAAAACTTCTCTCAACAAGGAGAATTCAGTATATTTTTCGACTCATGTATTTTAGAGCACCTTAGAAATAACTTTTTAAAAATATAAGCCACGAAAAAAGAGCACAAAATGGACGGAAAATGATGAGAAAAGTTTGGCTGTCTTCATTCTCTTACCGTTTATAATCACTCTCACTATACCAACATATTTGCCAGGTCTTGTAAGTTTCGACCACCAAAAATTATCTTTAAGTTTGGCTGCATAAAAAATTTATGAGTACAATATGTTCAAACGTTATATTTGACAGAATTTTGATCACATTCGATAATTTTGACAGAAACTGCATGACGTTCCAGAATGCCGAAAATGCTGTCACATGTAGTGCTCGAAAATTCCATGCGCGATTTTCAGTTTGCCGGTTATTTTGGAGATAACCCCGCTGAAAATAAAATTAAAATTAACAACTTTGAGCATCAGATTTTCATCATGAATCGTATTTTATGTCTTAAACATTATTTTTTTGCAAACGTTATTCAGAACGACGGATTTCCTTTTGAGAAAAATTGTTCCGAAGAGAAAAATCGCGGAGCATGGCCATTCAAGGGAGAGGTTCATGAATATTGAATAAAAAAGAGGGCGCACTATCTGGGTTAATGTCAAAGGTCAAACAGGCCACGATGCAGCGAAATGTTTCTCTTACGTCACCGCGAGAGATTGATGGAAGCCGCAAAATCGCCACGATCGGTATTTTGGACTGCGGTTTTCCGGAACATACTTGAAGAAAATGTGATCGGTCCATTCGTAAAAGGATGATGGTTTGGCGGTGCTTTTTTGCACTCTTTTTTAAAGCTTGTGTTGTACATCGATACAGTATATGGATTTTGCTCGCTTTTTTGCAGTCGATTTTTTTGACACTAATGACAGAATCGAATGACATTTGCGACTGCCGACTTCGGGACCCGATTAATTGTGAGAGGTACTTTTTAATTTTGTGATTATGGTTTTAATATGTGTAAATATTATCCCCTTTCATCACATATAAATCTGTATAAAATAACCTTGGGATTATCACTCCTCAGTAAATTCTGTTTGCTCAGATTTTAACAGGGAGTTCATGTCCCTCAAAATTGCTAACGTTCAAGACTTTAATTAATCCAGGAAAAATGAGCCCCCAAAGTTGAACACTATCTAATGGTCCATATTTTGTGGAACCCGCCATATACATACATGGGTTAAAGGTCAACAACGTTGGGATTCATGAGGAATATTTTCCTTTTGTCAAAACAAACATTTTTATCCCTTAAAGCAAGACATGCACATCCAGGATTATGTGCTTCCATATTATCCCTGCAAAATACTCTTCCTTTATTTTCCGTGCGAGCCTTTACCCGTATGTAATGTAAATGTACAAGTTAGAGTGTGTACAGACAGGGGAAAAAAGGTAACACCAATCATCTATAGGAACAATCTGGGAAACAATTGTTTTCCTGCCAGGTTCATGTTTTTCTGTGACAGCCTGTGCCTGGCACCAATACATACACACGTATGCATTTCACACACACATCCCTCACCAATCCCAGCAAACAATGGCAACCTATTCCAGGGGAATTCCAGAAATGAGAAATTTTCAAGGATGAAAAAAAAAGCATTGCGCTGCTTGTAGTACATACATGTATATTCATTGGTGAATGCTGAGAATTTTCAACAGATGACTGTCAACTTCATGAAGTTTGGACTGTGCTTTCAAGCTTGCTTTGTATGAGTTATCTGTACAACTTCATCACTCAGGGCATACATGTACCGTACCTGCACAAATTAACACAAACCATACATGTACATGTATATGTACATTCCACTTAAAAGCACATACACATTTTTTAAACCTGAAAATTGAAAAATAGGAAGACTGAACCTTATTTGTGTTGGATACGCAGGGAAGGTTAGCTCACGTGTGGGATGTATCTCGCTTTCTGGCAAGCTCTGTGGTCTTCTATGCTTTTCTCATTGCATAATTGTTATCTCAACTCGTCTCTTCCTCCCCCCCCCAAAAAATCATGATTCTTAAATGGACGTATCTAGAAAACAAACGAAACTGATCTAAAATTACCCAAACTATAGATCTTCAGCAGAAATATGAAATAAACATCCCGTTTGCAATGTTTGTATTAAACCTTGATGTTTTTTTCAGATATCTACAAGCCAATATATCCTAATCGCCAAGCACCTGTTAACCTTTCCATTATGAGCTATTCTTACTACAAGCACAATGTGGTATGAAAGTGCAGAGATCAACATGCAGCCTCATCATCAAAAGGATGAACTTTATGAAGGATTGGGACAATCAGATTTTCTCATAAAGGTGAGTATCCCAGTTCACAGTGCTGTAGTTTTTTTGGATTCAAAGGGGCTTAACATGTCGTTCAAATAGGCAATGTCACTTCTGACCAAATGCACCATGGGAATAGGCCAAGAAGACAAATATGTATAATGACAATTCCATCCCCAAATCAACAGAAATGACACGTAGTTCTCAAACTGCTGCTGGTCTAAGCAAACTTTTGATGCAGGATGGGCACAGTAGGAGAGTACTATTTGAAGTGGGTAAATTTAAAAGTAAGCACGAAAAATTTTGCCTCAACCACATGGCGCCCTCCCTCAAATAGGCTAATGGGCAATGTAGTTTATAGATCTATGAGTTAGATGTACATGTACGACACATATGGAATGGGGTTTACTTGACACTCTGCAAGCAATTGCTAATTCTTGATACAGAGCCAAAAACTTTCATTCAAAACAGATTGAGAGCTGTGTTCATCCCTATCCTAAACTCCATCCCACTAGGGTTATGACAAAACTTTGTAGTTGACGCCGTTTCATTCTAAATTCCGAAAATAAAGTTTTAGGGTCAATTTTAGTTAAGTCCTTAAATGCACTAATGACTTCTGATACCTTGTTCTTTCACTCAACAGAAAGAAGAAGAAAATTATCCAATAAATGTGGAAAAAAAGGTACGTGTGACAGCAAATTGCAGTTGCTAAATGGCTACTTTGTACCACAAAATACCTCCTCAATGAATAGGAAATTGAAACAAAGCTCAGTTTGTTTATTCTGATGTACAACATCTATGACAGAAGTTATTACTTTAAATTTGCACACTTAATACGGAACACTGCTTAAAACACAATCCATCTGTGACGACAACCATTCAATACAAAGGGAAAGTTTGCTTACACTGTTTTTCACCTCATTTTCAGAGGTAATTCACTAACAAAATGAGGTATTTGAACTTTGGAAATAAGTTTTTGTCAAATTGTTTTGTTATTGAATCACAATTAATGATGAGGTCAGTAACAGTGTAAGCATAGTTCCATTTTACATGGAATCGCCCATAATTCCTACTGGGATATGAACAAATTTAACAAGTTTCCCTACGTTTGATGGAAAACAGAACCAGTGTTTACAGCATTATCTTTGAGAAAATGTGACATCCCAATGTTCACTGGCTATTCTGTCCTAAACAGAGAACTATGTAACATGAGCCACACCCGATCTGCATTCATCCTACTTTTAAGCCAGTTCTCAAAGAATTCTGGTCTGAATGCCAAAGTTTTACAACCAATACGGTTCCCAGGAGCCTGTCTCTGGGGAACCCCCTTTGGGCCAGAGGGGTGAGAGCGTTCATGATACCAGCGGAGTTGCTTGTGCTGCGCGTGCAGCTTTGGCCCATTCCCAACTACGGCTGCACCCCAACCAATCAGACGTTGCACACGTCACACTGACTGGTTTTTTGGCGCGTTCGCCACACTTCTCCTCTTTCGCCGAGCGGGTACTGGTTCTAATAAAAAAAAAACGCTTGCCAGTTTCTACCTGTTATCTCCGGCAATTCGACACCTCCGCGGCTGTAGTATCATGGGAGGCCGAGGGAAGAAAAGGAAGCACCAGGAAGACCAAGCTGGACGCAGGAAGCCTCTGCCTTCGAGCCAAACCAGGGCCCAGTCTCGAGCTTTGCGGAGTCTGCTGGACCCACAATCCGGCGCATCGTGACAGGCGCCGGAGCTGTGCTCAAGTACAAGTAGCACCAGTGATGCGTCGCAACAGCGCCCCCAAGCGGCGGCCAGTTCGGCACGGCAGCTTCCACGATGGCGTCGGACAGTGCTCTCACAACCGCACCGCCTGTTCCGTTGCCTCCGGTGAATGTGTTCCCAACAGGGAGCTCGCCACTTCCAAACGAGGGACAGATACTTTCAGCGCTCCCCAGCCTCCCGAGCCGCCCGGCCAGCGCGGCGGTGGGACCACCTCCGGCCGCAGGAGCAGCAACCACTTCCAGCTGCGGCACTCAATCTTCGTTCAACTACGGCGATCGCGTTGGTGGCAGCGGTNTTTAGCAGAAATATGAAATAAACATCCCGTCTGCAATGTTTGTATTAAACCTTGATGTTTTTTTCAGATATCTACAAGCCAATATATCCTAATCGCCAAGCACCTGTTAACCTGGCCATTGTGAGCTATTCTTACTACAAGCACAATGTGGTATGAAAGTGCAGAGATCAACATGCAGCCTCATCATCAAAAGGATGAACTTTATGAAGGATTGGGACAACCAGATTTTCTCATAAAGGTGAGTATCCCAGTTCACAGTGCTGTAGTTTTTTCGGATTCAAAGGGGCTTATAACATGTCGTTCAAATAGGCCTTGTCACTCGGGATGGTTAATTCTGACCAAATGCACCATGGGAATAGGCCAAGAAGACAAATATGTATAATGACAATTCCATCCCCAAATCAACAGAAATGACATGTAGTTCTCAAACATGGCCTGACTGCTGCTGGTCTAGGCAGACTTTTGATGCAGGATGGGCACAGTAGGAGAGTACTATTTGAAGTGGGTAAATTTAAAAGTAAGCAAGAAAAATTTGGCCTAGACCACATGGCGCCCTCCCTCAAATAGGCTAATGGGCAGTGTAGTTTATAGATCTATGAGTTAGATGTACATGTACGACACATATGGAATGGGGTTTACTTGACACTCTGCAAGCAATTGCTAATTCTTGATACAGAGCAAAAAACTTTCATTCAAAACAGATTGAGAGCTGTGTTCATCCCCATCCTAAACTCCATCCCACTAGGGTTATGACAAAACTTTGTAGTTGACGCCGTTTCATTCTAAATTTCAAAAATAAAGTTTTAGGGTCAATATTAGTTAGGTCCTTAAATGCACTAATGACTTCTGATACCTTGTTCTTTCACTCAACAGAAAGAAGAAGAAAATTATCCAATACATGTGGAAAAAAAGGTACGTGTGACAGCAAATTCCAGTTGCTAAGTGGCTACTTTGTACCACAAAATACCTCCTCAATGAATAGGAAATTGAAACAAAGCTCAGTTTGTTTATTCTGTTGTACAACATCCATGACAGAAGTTATTACTTAAATTTGCATACTTAATACAGAACACTGCTTAAACACAATCCATTTGTGACGACAGCCATTCAATACAAAGGGAAAGTTTGTTTACACTGTTTTTCACCTCATTTCCAGAGGTAATTCACAAACAAAATGAGGCATTTGAAGGTTGGAAATAAGTTTTTGTCAAATTGTTTTGTTATTGAATCACAATTAATAATGAGGTCAGTAAAAGTGTACGCATAGTTCCATTTTACATGGAATCACCCGTAATTCCTACTGGGATATGAACAAATTTAACAAGTTTCCCTCCCTTTGATGGAAAGCAAAACTAGTGTTTACATGCATTATCTTTGAGAAAATATGACATCCCAATATTGACTGGCTATTCTGTCCTAAACAGAGGAACTATGTAACATGAGCCACATCCGATCTGCATTCATCCTACTTTTAAGCCAGTTCTCGAAGAATTCTGGTCTGAATGCCAAAGTTTCACAACCAATGCACGAATACTGCACTCTTTATTTTAAGCAAAGTTCTCGTGGTTATCACAGTCTAGTCCACAGACTGTTGACAACAGAGGGGGCAAAACAACAGCTTTCAAAGAGTATCTTGAAGATGACTTCTTGTGGGCCTCATCACACTCTTTTCAACTACCGCTAACTTTTCCGAAGAGAGGTGAACATGTGGTAGCATTCCAAGAGTATATCCAAGCCAATCGAGCAGAATCAATCTCCTGGACAGACACAAATCCTCAATTTCAGCCTACTGAGGTAAGATATGAGGCTTCCATGTACGGTGTACTTGTATGTGTATCACAGATTTGACTGTGGACAACATTTTGACTATGCCTACACGTATTTCAAAATTATTTTGTTACACCATCTGTCATAGCATCTGAATGACAAATATTGTTTGATGCTATGGTATATGAGTTTTATACTGTAACACTTTGTATCTGGAAATCGTATAAAGAAGCTAATGACTCTGTCTTCTGAAAAAATGGCAGAGAGCTGTTGTGATCACAGGATTGGAATGCTGAAAGTTGACAAGCTGGTAGGCCCACTACTGTGCCATTTGCAGAGAACACATGTAGATGAGCAGTATCTTTTGAAACGCATGAAGCCCAGTCTGTCAAAAAGGGCTTCAAACTTGAAGCAAAACCCATACTGCCCTCTCTCAGCAAAACAAAAGCAAAAACAAAATGATTGCGAAGGCCCTTTTCAGTTAGACAATTTATGCCAAAGGTCTGTATAAAAGAGATAATAAGATCCTTATTAAGGTTAAGACTACAAGCCTGAAATCCTCCAACATTAACTGGGTTAAAGGTAACTGGTTTCAGCTCAAGACCGAGCCACAAGTACACACATGCATATTGACATTTTTTCGTCAGACTGTTCCAACTTTAATTCCTTCTTTTTTGTCCAGAGTCATACAAAAACCTTCCCTGGGAGGGCAATAAAAGGGCTACCTTGTGAACAAAGGGATGTTAACAGCTTCCGAATGTTTATGAAATGTACATGTAAGTGCATGGCGTTTTCCTTGTATTTTTANCAGCATCGAAAGAGAAAGGCTGGGAGTTCATTTCCAGACGACCAAAATAATGAACAACCTTTGGAAAATAAAAAGAAGAAACAACGCTATCATCTTGTTCTGGTACGTATGGCTCTGATCTTCCCAAACTGACAACATTCACAAATGCTCAACCCATTGATTTCAAATGCACAAAACACTGGATAAAGGTGTTTCCAATTATTCCAACTTTCTAATTTATACCTAAGTTATTTCTTTGTTTCAAATGAATATCTAATTTTACGCTACAAAACTCTCACCATATGCATTGGTATTGCTAATAAGCATCTCTAGAAATGAAGGGAAGGAACACTTGAAAGTGCCTTGAACAATATAACTCGTAAGCCTGAAGAAACCTGTCGAGAGGAGACAAATGCATGGCAGTTACAGTCCTATGTAATGGTGGGAAGAAAACCCAGACCAATGTTCTGTGGGAGAACCCATCAGGTTGGAACTAACATGTGGTAGAGGAGGACAGAGCCCCTAAACCAACCTTACTCCCCTATATTCCCACGGTGGCATTTTAAATATATTCTCTCTTTGCAGGATGCAGAAACTCCCACAAATCCTAATGAGCAAATGGTGAGTTTCATTTCAGCAACTACTTTTTGCCATGCATAGTACAATCGGTACATGTAGTGAATGGGAGGTGTATACATACGTGGTCGCAGGCAAATTGCTACAAATCTATGGTTCTGAAATGTACAAACGAATTAACAATATGCTATTATCCTCAAGTTATGGGTACCTTATCTGGTTGCAAAAACAAGTTTGCCAGTGTCTCCTTTACAAATAGCTGTTTTTGTGATTTTGTCCCAATCAAATTCTTGTATATGAAGTATAGTACACGTGCGTGTGTGTCGCAGGACTTTTGTACTGGCACACAATATGCCTCAGACATTCATGGGGGCGTAGGGGGGTGTTTGAGAAAAAATGAACCTACACGTACATTACCGTTTTCTCTGTAAAACAACCATTATGTTAACTTCTTTTGTCCATGGTCAGGTTGAAAATTTTCCATGTGAACCACCAGGAGCTACTGGTATCTATAAGCCAATAACTGCATATGGGACTACATATCCGTGTAACCCACCAACACCAGACCCCTGGCAGGTATAGAAGAACAAAATGGAGAACGTACTTGGTAAGCGTTGCCTGTGGTTGCCAGGAACAGATCCAGGACCAAATGCTGGCAGAAGGGAACCTCGTTTTTTTTCCAGGGACCCCAAAATTTAGGAATTTCTTCATGCAATGTTCATTTACCGCCTAGTTTTGGTTCCAAGACTTCCAATGACAGTATGCTTTAGTGCACATGTCATTGGACTGTGCAGTTAACAC